TCCCAGATCGACCTCCCCTGCAACACTACCAGCGGCGAGAAGCAAGCAACAGCATCGTGCATCAGGTGGCCCAAATGAGGGCGGATGAACGATAATCAGAGGCGGCGATCCATCGTGGCCTGGGACTGCTATGTCCCAAACAAATACTAAGGATACTAAGGACACACAGAGACCACACAGGGCCCACAGAGATACTTAGGAAACACAGAGACCACACAGGGCCCACAGAGATACTTAGGACACACAGGGACCACAAAGGAACACACAGGACACTCACGCTGAGAATGGACGAGGCGAGGTCGAGCGGCAGCTGAGACACGGCGGGGTCGTGCAGCGGCGTCGCGAGGGACACTTCCACCAGGTTCTGTCGGGACACAGAATACTTACAACACTGTGTGCTGTGTGAACACTGTGTGCTCTGTGAACACTGTGTGCTGTTTGAACAATGTGTGCTGTGTCAACACTGTGTGTGCCATATACGTGAAAAGTGACATATACGTAAATGTGAACACTGTTCGTAAAAATAACACTTTTTCAGCGAAGCTCCAATGGGCCAAAGTGGCAAGCATGTTCACCCGCGACTGATTTGGATCGCGGATTTGGGATATATTCTGGAAAATTGGAGAACATGACTGAAAATAGTGGGAAAACTCATCGAAAATCCAAGTAAAATGACTGAAAAAACATGTGAATAAAAACCAATTGGACATCCAAGTGAATGTAAAAAAAAAGAGAATAGGATGAATGCGAGTAACACGAATAAGTATTCAAAATTATTCAAAGGCATATAAATAAATGATCGAAATGTATGGAAAGTTAGGGGAAAAAGCAGTGAAAATAAATGGAAAGTGCGTTAAAAGTGTATGAAAATGTACAGCTCACAAAAAATGTTTATGAAACATTTTGAATGTGCCTGCTAATGTTTGAAAAGTACGAGACATTGATAATTTTGTGAACTTCATTCACAATATATACCAGCAACCAGGCATCCATGGCGCCATGCCCCACCAGCAACCAGGCATCCATGGCGCCATGCCCCACCAGCAACCAGGCATCTATGGCGCCTTGCCCCACCAGCAACCAGGCATCCATGGCGCCATGCTCCACCAGCAATCAGGCATCCATGGCGCCATGCCCCACCAGCAACCAGGCATCCATGGCGCCATGCCCCACCAGCAACCAGGCATCCATGGCGCCATGCCCCACCAGCAACCAGGCATCCATGGCGCCATGCCCCACCAGCAACCAGGCATCCATGGCGCCATGCCCCACCAGCAACCAGGCATCCATGGCGCCATGCCCCACCAGCAACCAGGCATCCATGGCGCCATGCCCCACCAGCAACCAGGCATCCATGGCGCCATGCCCCACCAGCAACCAGGCATCCATGGCGCCATGCCCCACCAGCAACCAGGCATCCATGGCGCCATGCCCCACCAGCAACCAGGCATCCATGGCGCCATGCCCCACCAGCAACCAGGCATCCATGGCGCCATGCCCCACCAGCAACCAGGCATCCATGGCGCCATGCCCCACCAGCAACCAGGCATCCATGGCGCCATGCCCCACCAGCAACCAGGCATCCATGGCGCCATGCCCCACCAGCAACCAGGCATCCATGGCGCCATGCCCCACCAGCAACCAGGCATCCATGGCGCCATGCCCCACCAGCAACCAGGCATCCATGGCGCCATGCCCCACCAGCAACCAGGCATCCATGGCGCCATGCCCCACCAGCAACCAGGCATCCATGGCGCCATGCCCCACCAGCAACCAGGCATCCATGGCGCCATGCCCCACCAGCAACCAGGCATCCATGGCGCCATGCCCCACCAGCAACCAGGCATCCATGGCGCCATGCCCCACCAGCAACCAGGCATCCATGGCGCCATGCCCCACCAGCAACCAGGCATCCATGGCGCCATGCCCCACCAGCAACCAGGCATCCATGGCGCCATGCCCCACCAGCAACCAGGCATCCATGGCGCCATGCCCCACCAGCAACCAGGCATCCATGGCGCCATGCCCCACCAGCAACCAGGCATCCATGGCGCCATGCCCCACCAGCAACCAGGCATCCATGGCGCCATGCCCCACCAGCAACCAGGCATCCATGGCGCCATGCCCCACCAGCAACCAGGCATCCATGGCGCCATGCCCCACCAGCAACCAGGCATCCATGGCGCCATGCCCCACCAGCAACCAGGCATCCATGGCGCCATGCCCCACCAGCAACCAGGCATCCATGGCGCCATGCCCCACCAGCAACCAGGCATCCATGGCGCCATGCCCCACCAGCAACCAGGCATCCATGGCGCCATGCCCCACCAGCAACCAGGCATCCATGGCGCCATGCCCCACCAGCAACCAGGCATCCATGGCGCCATGCCCCACCAGCAACCAGGCATCCATGGCGCCATGCCCCACCAGCAACCAGGCATCCATGGCGCCATGCCCCACCAGCAACCAGGCATCCATGGCGCCATGCCCCACNCATAATCACCCAGCAGCACCACATAATCACCCAGCAGCACCACATTATCGCCTAGCAGCACCGCATAATCACCCAGCAGCACCGCATAATCACCCAGCAGCACCACATAATCACCCAGCAGCACCACATTATCGCCTAGCAGCACCACATAATCACCCAGCAGCACCGCATAATCACCCAGCAGCACCACATAATCACCCAGCACCACATAATCACCAGCAGCACCACATAATCACCCAGCAGCACCACATAATCACCTTCCACAGTATGGAGTGCAGCCATTGGTCCCTCGTATAGGCGCTGTTCGCCTGAAAAAAAAAATTATTTATTAAATACGGATACACAAATTAATGAATTAGAAAACATTTACCTGAATAAAGGAATTGAATTTCATAATATGTTAAAAATAATAAATTATGGGGAAACATTTCCCCTGTTGACAAGGGAATTGCGACAGTAAATTCAAACTCGTACAAAAAATGTAACTCAGTACTCACTGCAGTGAGTGACAGAGAGCGCATTTTCTCGTCGACGAAAACGTGAAGTCACGGACGGACGGACGGACGGACGGACAGACAGACAGGCGGACGGACGGACATGGCGAGCACATAATTTAATAACATAAATAATAATATAACATAATGATTTAATAACATAAATAATAATTTTTTCCATAAATGAGAAATGCGCTAAAAATGAGAGCGTGTGCTTGGGGCGGTGACAGTAAAGCAGTGGCCGCACGATTGTCGTGTCGGGCGATCAGCACGGCCATCACGCGGCCAGAACTGCGGTGCCTTGAGTGCCTTTATTGATATTAACGACCCGACGGGTGAGTTGGGGACAGGGTGTTGGGACAGTGTCGGGGACAGGGTGTCGGGGACAGGGTGTCTGGGACAGGGTGTTGGGGACTGGGTGTCGGGGACAGGGTGTCGGGGACAGGGTATCGGGGACAGGGTGTCAGGGACAGGGTGTCGGGGACAGGGTATCGGGGACAGGGTGTCGGGGACAGGGTGTCGGGGACAGGGTGTTGGGGACAGGGTGTCGGGGACAGGGTGTCAGGGACAGGTTCCGGCCGAACTGGGTCAAGACGACACACCCAAGCACAGAAAATAAATAGCTGTTAAATAATAACACCCACAATAAATAACACCCACATTTTTCTGATTGTACGAAGAGATAAGAAGAAAGTGTAAGCGAAAATTCCGGGCCGGGGAAGTTCCCGGGGCGGCCACACGCGATAACAAAAAATAATAGAAAAAACCCGTGCTTTCTTGGCGAGGAAAACAGGGGCAGGGGGGTTACGTGGGACGGGTTTTAGGGGTTACGAAAGGGGGGCTGGACAAGGGCTCGGGGTTACGGGGTTCAGGGTTTAGAATTAGTGGGCTCCGGAATGAAGGGTTCAGAGAGAAGGGGGTTAAGGATATAAAGTTAAGGGATAAGGTGGTCAGGGATTAAGGGTTTAAATATAAAAGGTCAGGAATATGGGGTTGAGAGAAAGGGGCTTAGGGCTAGAGGGGGTTGGGAGATAGAGAGGCCAGGGATCGAGGGGTGGGATAGGGGGGCGAGGGATGAGGGGATCAAGGTCAAGGAGTTCTGATATACAAAATTAAAATCAGGGATAAAAAATAGGGATAAGGGGTTCAGGGATATAGGGTTAGGCAAGGCGTGGCTTGACCTCGCTCTACTGCGCATTGTGGGCACCCTCAATGTTGATATCTTCGAGAAGACGATAACAGCGCGTTGTTATCTTCGAGGTGAAGATAACACTGCGTTATTATTTTTAAGGCTATGATAACAGCGCGTTGTGATCTTTGAGGTGACGATAACAGAGCGTTGTTATCTTCGAGGTGAAGATAATACTGCGTTGTTATCTTCGATACGACGATAACACCGCGTTGTTAACTTTGAGGTTATGATAACAGCGCGTTTCTGTCTTTGAGCTGACGATAATAGCGCGTTGTTATTTTTGAGGTGATGATAACACTGCGTTGTTATCATCGAAGCGGAAAAGACAACAACGCGTACCGTACACCAGCGCACCGGAAGGAAAATTTTTTATCTTCGCAGCAACAACAAAACACTGCAGTATACCTGCAGTATGAGCGCAGTATACCTGCAGTATGAGCGCAGTATACCTGCAGTATGAGCGCAGTATACCTGCAGTATGAGCGCAGTATACCTGCAGTATGAGCGCAGTATACCTGCAGTATGAGCGCAGTATACCTGCAGTATGAGCGCAGTATACCTGCAGTATGAGCGCAGTATACCTGCAGTATGAGCGCAGTATACCTGCAGTATGAGCGCAGTATACCTGCAGTATGAGCGCAGTATACCTGCAGTATGAGCGCAGTATACCTGCAGTATGAGCGCAGTATACCTGCAGTATGAGCGCAGTATACCTGCAGTATGAGCGCAGTATACCTGCAGTATGAGCGCAGTATACCTGCAGTATGAGCGCAGTATACCTGCAGTATGAGCGCAGTATACCTGCAGTATGAGCGCAGTATACCTGCAGTATGAGCGCAGTATACCTGCAGTATGAGCGCAGTATACCTGCAGTATGAGCGCAGTATACCTGCAGTATGAGCGCAGTATACGTGCAGTATGAGCGCAGTATGACAGTATGAGCGCAGTATACCTGCAGTATGAGCGCAGTGTCGCGGGTCAGCAGTCTGGCGCAGTGCTTGTTGCTCTTAGCGCTGCACGGCTGCACGGCGCTCACGTCCAGCAGTGCACTGTAGGCGACCTGCAGCACTGCACCGCTGCCCATGGTCTGCACGGGGGAAAACAACGTATTGTTATTGTTATCATTGTTATCGTTATAATTGTTGTAAAACAATTCGTTATTAAAAACATCGTTATAAAGCAATTTTTATTGTTATAATTGTTATAAAACAATTTGTTACTAAAAACATTGTTATGAAACAATTGTTATTGTTACAATTGTTGTTGTAATCATTGTTATTTTTATCGTTGACATTGTTATCGTCATTGTTCTCATTGTTATTGTTATCGTTATTATTTATATTTTTTCATTGTTGTTGTTGTTGTCACTGTTATTATCACTATTATTGTTATCATTGTTGTTACAACATTTGCCACTTCAAACACATGTTATATATGACACTCTGTTATTACTGTTATTATTGTCGATCCAGCTATTGTTTTATTTGTATTATATATAACACTTTCTATTGTTATCTTTCATGTTATAACATTTCATTGTTTTTCGATTTTTATACTACTATTAATAGTTAAATATTATATGCCACGATATATTATTAATATACCGTATCATAAACGTAACATTATCGACATATTCGGTAACATGAATGCCGTGGAAATGTCCCTTCTTATTTATAGACAGCTGCTACTGTAGCTGTCGGGGACTTCCCTTCCTTTCCTTCAATCCTTCCCTTCCTTTCCTTCCTTCCTTTCCTCACTTTCCTCCGATCCTTTCCCTACCTTCCCTTCCTTTCCTTCAATCCTTCCTGTCCTTTCCTCCCTTCCTTTCCTCACTTTCCTCCGATCCTTTCCCTACCTTTCCTTCCCTTTCCTTCAATCCTTCCCGTCCTTTCCTCCGATCCTTTTCCTCGCTATCCTCCAATCCTTTCCCTACCTTTCCTTCAATCCTTCCTTCCCTTTCTTTCAATCCTTCCCGTCCTTTCCTCTGATCTTTCCCTTCATTTCCTCTGATCCTTTCTTTTCCTTCCCCCCAATTCCTCCAATCCTTCCCTTTCTTTCCATCCTTTCCTTCAATCATTCCCTCCCTTTCCTCCAATCCTTCCCTTCCTTTACTTCCTTTCCTCCAATCCTTCCATCCCTTTACTTCCTTTCCTCCAATCATTCCCTCCCTTTCCTCCAATCCTTCCATCCCTTTCCTTCTTCCCAATTCCTTCAATCCTTCCCTTTCTTTCCATCCTTTCCTCCAATAATTCCTTCCCTTTCCTCCAATCCTTCACTCCCTTTACTACATTTTCTCCTATCCTTCCCTTCCCTTTTTTCCAATCCTTCCCTTTCTTCTATTCCTTCCTTTACAACCCTCCCTTTCTTCCAATCCTTTCCTTCTTTTCCTCCAATCCTTCCCTCCCTTTCTTTCTATCCTTTCCTAATCTGCCACTAATAATTAATTTTCAGGTGCAGGCTCTTCTATAAAAAAAATAAGAGGAAAATTCTGCACTGGAGACAATACCGCGTCACTTGTGAGGAAAAAATCTTGGCAAGTTACGATTTTAGCAGCTGCTTTTGTCAGCTGTTTACGCCAGCAGGTGTAACACTTATAATGGCAGCTGATTTTGTCAGCTGTTTACGCCGGCAGGTGTAACACCTGTAATGGCAGCTGATTTTGTCAGCTGGTTACGCCGGCAGGTGTAACACCTGTAATGGCAGCTGATTTTGTCAAAAAACATTGTTATGAAACATATATTGTTATAAAACAATTGTTATAATTGTTATTATTATCATTGTTATTGGTCTCATTGTTATATTGTTATCGGTATTGCTTCTATTTTTTCATTGTTGTTGTTGTCATTATTATTATCACTGTTATTGTTATCATTGTTGTTACAACATTTGTCAATTCAAACACTTGTTATTTATGACACTCTGTTATTGCTGTTATTATTGAAATTCCGGCTATTGTTGTCATTATAACACTTTTATTGACAATAACACTTTTCATTGTTATCTTTCATGTTATAACATTTCATTGTTTTTCGAGTGTTATACTACTATTAATAGTTATATATTATATGCCACGATATATTATTAATATACCGTATCATAACACGTAACATTATCGACATATTCGGTAACATGAATGCCGTGGAAATGTCCCTTCTTATTTATAGACTGCTGCTGCTGCAGCTGTCGGGGACTTCCCTTCCTTTCTCCAATCCTTTCCCTACCTTTCCTTCAATCCTTCCTTCCCTTTCATTCCATCCTTTCCTCCAATCCTTCCCTTTCTTTCCATCCTTTCCTCCAATCATTCCCTCCCTTTCCACCAATCCTTCACTCCCTTTACTTCCTTTTCTCCTCTCCTTCCCTTCCCTTTCTTCCAATCCTTCCTTTTCCTACCTTTCCTTCAATACCTTCCTGCCCTTTCCTCCAATCCTTCCATCCCTCTCCTATCCTTTCCTAATCTGCCACTAATAATTAATTTTCAGGAGCAGGTTTTTCTCTAAAAAAAAGAGGAAAATTCTGCACTTGAGACAATACCGCGTCACATGTGAGGAAAAAATCTTGGCAGGTTACGATTTTAGCAGCTGTTTTTATCAGAAGTGTACGCCAGCAGGTGTAACTCTTGCAATAGCAGCTGATTTTGTCAGCTGTTTACGCCAGCAGGTGTAACACTTGCAATAGCAGCTGATTTTGTCAGCTGTTTACGCCAGCAGGTGTAACACTTGTAATAGCAGCTGATTTTGTCAGCTGGTTACGCCAGCAGGTGTAACACTTGCAATAGCAGCTGAACGGTTAACCGTTCTACTCTATGTAATTACAATAAATGTAGTTCTAGTAAATGTAGTTCTATTAAACGTAGTTTTATGTAATATAGTTCTATCTGATGCAATTCTAATGCAGGTTTATAGTTCTGGTGAAAGTAATTCTATTGAATGTATTTCTATTTAACGTAATTCTAATGAAGGTGGTTCTAATGAATGTTGTTCAAATGCATATAGTTAGAAATAATTGTAGTCCAACTGAATCTACTTCTATTGAAAGTGGCTCTGATGAAAATAATTCTGTTGACTACAGCTTTAATTTAAGCTGCTCTAATAAACGTAGTTGTCCGGTGTCAATCTGGTGTCTCATTATATTCATTATAATTATAAGGTTAGATCACCTGCAATTGAGACGCAATTTTCATTAGGCGTTATAGAGATTGATGGAAAAGTACTAGACCTGAGTCAGCGTCTAGACAAAATCACGTGACAGATCACGCGACCAAGACCGCAGTAGTGGGCGGAAGCCGTGACTCTATAAAAGGGCTGGGAACCTTAGTAAGGCCCCGCAGAAGCTGACGAACGTGCCGCGATGTAACTCGCGTTAGAATTACTCCAACCTAACGGTCGACGACTTATCTTTACCTGTATCGTATCCCTTATGCATAACCACCAGATATATCAGGATAATTTCTCAAGACAGATGGTGCCTTACTTATTCTTCACGCGCTTAGTCATCGAACCATACTCCAGTCAGGTGGAGCTTAATAGAGCGCAGACACAGTTCTGACGAATGTAGTTATCATGAATGAAGTCCTAATGAATGTAGTTCTAATTAATGTAGTCCTAATGAATGTAGTTCTGATGAATGTAGTTATAATGAGTGTAGTCCTGATGAATGTAGTTCTGATGTATCTAGTCCTAATGTATGTAGTCTATTTTGTTTAGTTCTGACAAATGTTTTAATTGAATGTACCTAGTTCTCTCTAATTTAGTCTAAAGTGTATGTAGTTCTACTGAATCATGTTGTTGCATGGCGCTGCTCATAATACACAATAAATTAATACAATGCATGAAAATCAAACAATGCGCGTGCACTCTATACAAAAAATTCGACGAATAAAGTTCAAAGAACCTTTAAAGATGAGCCATTTTTCAACCTTCTAAAATGAGGAACAACCATCCACCAACCATCGTGATAAAAAAAAGACCTATTCGTCTACAATCAGGTTGAGGCAAACCGGCCATCACTAACCATCAGGTTGTGGGCGAACCATCACTAACCATCAGGTTGAGGACGAACCATCACCAACCATCAGGTTGAGGACGAACCATCACCAACCATCAGGTTGAGGACGAACCATCACCAACCATCAGGCTGAGGACGAACCATCACCAACCATCAGGTTGAGGACGAACCATCACCAACCATCAGGTTGAGGACGAACCATCACCAACCATCAGGTTGAGGACGAACCATCACCAACCATCAGGTTGAGGACGAACCATCACCAACCATCAGGTTGAGGACGAACCATCACCAACCATCAGGTTGAGGACGAACCATCACCAACCATCAGGTTGAGGACGAACCATCACCAACCATCAGGTTGAGGACGAACCATCACCAACCATCAGGTTGAGGACGAACCATCACCAACCATCAGGTTGAGGACGAACCATCACCAACCATCAGGTTGAGGACGAACCATCACCAACCATCAGGTTGAGGACGAACCATCACCAACCATCAGGTTGAGGACGAACCATCACCAACCATCAGGTTGAGGACGAACCATCACCAACCATCAGGTTGAGGACGAACCATCACCAACCATCAGGTTGAGGACGAACCATCACCAACCATCAGGTTGAGGACGAACCATCACCAACCATCAGGTTGAGGACGAACCATCACCAACCATCAGGTTGAGGACGAACCATCACCAACCATCAGGTTGAGGACGAACCATCACCAACCATCAGGTTGAGGACGAACCATCACCAACCATCAGGTTGAGGACGAACCATCACCAACCATCAGGTTGAGGACGAACCATCACCAACCATCAGGTTGAGGACGAACCATCACCAACCATCAGGTTGAGGACGAACCATCACCAACCATCAGGTTGAGGACGAACCATCACCAACCATCAGGTTGAGGACGAACCATCACCAACCATCAGGTTGAGGACGAACCATCACCAACCATCAGGTTGAGGACGAACCATCACCAACCATCAGGTTGAGGACGAACCATCACCAACCATCAGGTTGAGGACGAACCATCACCAACCATCAGGTTGAGGACGAACCATCACCAACCATCATACAGGCACAATAATATAGAGTAGGTCAATAAAAAGTATTAGTATGCAGTAGGTCAATAAAAAAGGAAAACACTCAGAAAAATAAGCGAGCATTAAAGCGCAGCAAGCACAGCAAGAAGGGCAGGCAAAGACGTCGCCGCGCAACTTTAAAATAATCGATGCGACAGCTGCAGCAACAACAGCAGCTGCAGCAACAACAGCTGCTGCAGCAACAACAGCAGCTGCAGCAACGCCACCGACATACCACGCACCGACCGACATACCACGCACCGTCCGACATACCACGCACCGACATACCGACGTACCGACCGACGTACCACGCACCGACCGACATACCACGCACCGACGTACCGACGCTGTCGCGGTTCTCGCCTCATGAGGAACCAGAACATCCGGGGTCACTGGGTGCGCAGCGGTCGGCTTTTGGCCGGTAAATAGTAGAATTATTCATTATTATAACATTCTTGTTATATTATATAAATTATTATTCTATAACATTATTATTCGACCGGTGGTTGTTAGATAGGAGATAATTAGCCGCTTCAATGGCGGCCAGTCGGAGTTGAAATTTGTCCAGGCAAGTTGATTTGTTGAAGTTCAAGCAAAGAATGCAGCGTTGGCAGCAGAGGTTAGAGGTTAGTTTAAATATAAGGTTTAAATTAAGGCTAAAGTTAAGGTTGAAATTAATCAAGGTTAAATTTAAGGGTTAAGTTAAGATTTAAGTTAGGGGTTAAGTTAAGGGTTAAGTTAAGGTTTAAGTTAAGGTTGAAATTAATCAAGGTTGATTTTAAGGGTTAAGTTAAGGGTTAAGTTAAGGTTAAAGTTAAGGTTGAAGTTAAGGGTTAAGTTAAGGTTTAAGTTAAGGTTTAAGTTACGGTTGAAATCGAGGTTGAAATTAAGGTTGAGTAAGGTAAGGTTAAAGTTAAAGTTGATGATAAGGTTGTAATTAAACTTAAGGTTGAGATGAGTGATATAACCCCAGCCTAGCACTACAACTTGAGTTCTATTCCAACTTGAAAAACTTGATCGGCCAAGAGTTGGCCAACGCCTCGCACGCCAATATTGGCAAGGATATTAGCAGTGAACGAGAGCCAATATTGGCCAGGCGAGGAGTGCTGAGTCATCCAATCAGCGGAGGGCGTTGACAGCAAAATCAGCAATGTCAACAGCAATATCAGCATGTCAACAGCAATATCAGCAATGTCGACAGCAATATCAGCGATGTCAACAGCAATATCAGCGATGTCAACAGCAATATCAGCAATGTCAACAGCAATATCAGCAATGTCAACAGCAATATCAGCAATGTCAACAGCAATAACAACAACAAATACCACCCACGATATAACACAATAGCAGAGATAACAGCAGCACATGCACGGCATGTACTGTATATACAAAATATTAAACAGTTACTGATGGAAATACGGTAACAAAAATGTTAAGAAGAAAGAAAAATTAATCTTAATAACTGATGGAAATACGATAGCAAAAATTATAAGAACAAATCAAAATAAATCTTAATAACGTAACACACAGAGGCGTTATATACAGAAAATTCAACATTCACTGATGGAAGTATGATAGCAAAAATGATAAACATAATACACAAATCTTAATACAGAAACAAACAGACCCACACACACACAGACCCACACACATGTGTGTGTGTCACAGCACCAGGATTGAAATACGACACACACACACACATGTGTATACAATTTATAGGCCTGTAAATAGCGGATGGATTGGAGGAAAGGACGAGAAAGATTGAGGAAAAGGGAGGGAAGGATTGGAGGAAAGGACGGGAAAGATTGAGGAAAAGGGAGGGAAGGATTGGAGGAAAGGAAGGGAAGGAGTGGAGGAAAGGGAGGGAAGAATTGGAGGAAAGGGAGGGAAGAATTGGAGGAAAGGAAGGGAAGGATTGGAGGGAAGGGAGGGAAGGATTGAAAGAAAGGGAGGGAAGAATTGGAGGAAAGGGAAGGAAAGATTAGAGGAAAGAAAGGGAAGGAGTGGAGGAAAGGGAGGGAAGGATTGGATTGTGGGGTGCTGGAGGGGGGAGTGCTAGAGGGGTGGAGTGCTGGAGGGGTTAATGCCCGTAATCATATAATAGAACAAAACAAGCAAGCAGTAACTGCAATGTCGAATGTCGGTAAAAAATGTAACGGCGGCGCCTCGGGAATGTTTGGCTCCAGCGGGCAACCGGCAGGGCGGGGGGGAGGAGGGATGGGGTGGAGGGAGGAATGAGTGGNACCTGTCTCTTATACACATCTAGATGTGTATAAGAGACAGGTATGGAGCACCATGGAGCTGGATGAAGCTTTATGGAGCAGGATGGAGCACCTTGGAGCAGGATGGAGCAGGGCAGAGTGCGTGGGCGGTTCGAACATCCGGGTTGAGCGCTGTTATCCGCCTTTTCGCACCCGCGCTGTTATCTCTGTTATCTTTCATACCGCGCGGTCATACCAACGTGTCAGAGGGGGCCAATATATTGGCTATGATAAAGTCATAATTAACTAAAATAATTAGGATCAATTATCAATCAATTAACCTAACCTTAACTACCTACCGTTAGTAATGTTACGACTTACGAGACTAACGGCTTGTTGTTCAATGGCTAATTTAAAGGTGATTTATGATAGGTCTCGAGATGGTACTTAAAAATGAGCAAGTTTTTATGATGCCTCATTTGAAATACGGTATCCCATATGGGATACCTCGGCCAGATAGAGGATATCTCGCTCAACTTTATTTGAATGAGGAAGTAGACGAGCGAAGCAGTTCACTGGACACGCCGCTACGCGCCAGTGGCGTTAGTCCAAGGCCGTTTTTGTTGTTGCTCTAGTAACTGTTGTTGCTGCTCTAGTAACTGTTGTTGCTGCTCTAGTAGCAGTTGTTGCTGCTCTAGTAACTGTTGTTGCTGCTCTAGTAACTGATGTTGCTGCTCTAGTAACTGCAGTTGTTGCTGCTCTAGTAACTGTTTTTGCTGCTCTAGTAACCGTTGTTGCTGCTCTAGTAACTGTTGTTGCTGCTCTAGTAACTGATGTTGCTGCTCTAGTAACTGTTTTTGCTGCTCTAGTAACTGCAGTTGTTGCTGCTCTAGTAACTGTTGTTGCTGCTCTAGTAACCGTTGTTGTTGCTCTAGTAACTGTTGTTGCTGCTCTAGTAACTGTTGTTGCTGCTCTAGTAACTGCAGTTGTTGCTGCTCTAGTAACCGTTGTTGTTGCTCTAGTAACTGTTGTTGCTGCTCTAGTAACTGTTATTGCATTGAAGTACTTCTTTTCATTCTTTTGTTATTGTTGGCATTGCATTATGGGTTGGTGTCGAGTTTCCTGGGTGCTTGTTAGAATAACGCAATTTGACTACAAATAATTAGCACAATAGTTGGAAGAGTAACGACGATCAACAACACAATAGAAAGAAAGTATTTATAAAAGCAGCATACAAACATGATTGATAAATAAATTATTAATTGAGCATTATGAGGCTCCCCACCCTTTGATGATACCTAGTTCAGAGAAATGAGTGGGTCATATTGTCTAAATAGTGATACACTGATACGCTCTTCTGACGTGTCAGTGTTTCACTGTTAGTAGCACTGATACGCCCTTCTGACGGTCCAAACTGGGTCAAGATGACCTACACAAGGCAAAAATTGCGTCAATTTTTTGACAAATGTTTAGTTGTTTCTCTGAGTGTACACTAGAAAGTGCATGAGTATTTGGACAAATATTCTCGCATTTTTCTGAGTGTTAACTCTAGATACTCACGCTGCTGAGGGTGAGGCAGGAGTCGCCGAGGGAGAGGTACTGCTCGTTCCAGCCCTCCAGGTCGAAGACCCACTGCCCGACCTCGTCGGTTACCCTGCTCAGTAACTTCTTCGGTAACCTGGCTAGCTCACCAACGCCTCCACCACAAAGGGCTTCACTAACGTCATCCTCTTTGCAGTATCCTGAAGTTAAGGCTACAGCGTGAACGTTGTGAATGCTACCCTCTGAACGCGAGAGGTGAGAGGCGGATAACGGTGGTGGTTGGATAGCGTTATTTAGCACAACTTCTTCTTTGTCCGGAGAGTTAGAACGTCGAACGGCCGACAAATTATCCTGAGAACGAGATTTTTTCCGACATAGTCGCTGGTGCGCCCGAGGCTTCTTTTCACGCCTGGGGCCCTGCTTGAGGTGCGTGGGCAACGCTGCTAAATGTGCCGCAAATGGGCTTTGTGACGTCGAGAAATACGTTGAAGACGTCGATGTTTGTAAGATATTCCCTTTGGCCGTTTCGTCGGCATCTATGTTAACTAATTTTTCCTTAGTAGGCATGAAAAGTACTGGCGAATCAGTCCACACGTTCCGGAGACTCAGTGGCACTGTTGATTCAGTCCACAAAGTCTGCGGACTTGCCACGCCATTCGTAACTGCAACATCCTGTTCACCGGGACCACCGCCCCCCTCCTCCTCCGCACCGCGTCTGTATGAATGGCCCTTCTCATGGCCGTGGGGAGCCGCGGCAACGTACGGTAAAGAGCTTCTCACCAGATGTGGCGGGATTGGCACACGTTTTACTAGCACAAAGCCTTCGTAACGTGCTTGTAACTTACGTCTATGGCCACTCATGAAGACGCATGACGTCTGACATGTGTCGCAGTACTGAACATTGCCGCTAGACGTCACGTTACACGAACCGTCCAGTTTGTTGGGCGGTGAAATGCCAAAGCTTTCTTCGGCACACACCGCCGATTCATCACTCAACTCACGCTCCATTGCTCTAAAATAGAAACTTGATAAACAACATAGTATGTCACACACCATAGGGATAATCTTAATTAAACACACCCACTGCGATCTTCACTTTGGTCCTGATCAACGGCATTGAAGTGAGGCACTGCGCGCAAGGCGGCACGCAATGAGCTCCATACGAGCTACAAACGTACAACCACACTCATTAACAGTCAGACGGACACTGAGGCCAGGAACCTCATCAACTTAACAGCGGACTGCGGAGAGCCGTGACGTTCCGATGAAATGTTGACGCCACACACGCAATGTCAACACAACAAGTTTACTGCTCATTAGTTGAGCAAACATTGAGAGCAGTGCTCATTGTCTAAGGTCCGTGCGCTACTCCACATCAACACTTTTGGACGAATTTCTTTATTGAATCACATTTTGAACGGTACTTTGATAGAAAGAAGTGACGGGAGGTCCTTCATTTTCTCTAAAGTCAAATAGATAATAATTAAATAGCTAATATTTTCATCAAAATTATCCATTTTCAGAGATTTCATAGCGTGACTGTTGAAATGTATTGCAATCTATTCACATTCTGGACATATTTTTCGTGTAGTTTTTGAGATCAATTGAACAATTAATTAGTGAAGGAGTTTGGTTCTGAACAGATTTCTCAGATAGACACCGCCAATTAAGGTAGGTTTTCCGTATTAACAAAAAAGTTATTAATGTAAAAATCTGAAAAAAATTCTCTCCGCCAGATACTGATATTATCTACTTATATTTCAAATTTGAATAAAATCCGTTCATAATTGACGGAGTTATGAGTGCCAGAGTTGAAAATTAAGTTAGGTTTTGCATTCGAGCTCGCAGGCGAGTTCGCTGAAGTGTCGAATCGGTGTCAGATAGACGAAAGAAACGCTGCTAATTATGAGCTAAGAATATAAAAATTTGTATTTATGTTTCTGATATCCTGTTCAATAACCTGAAATTATTTCCAATTACGAGAATAAAATTTCAGATGTATGCTCAAGTATCATCTTCCACGAAATGGACAGGATACATTTCGACAATGACATTTCGATATGACTATATTTTGGTACGTCTTCCCAAGGGACCCGTTGTTGTTTTTATTTAATAACAGAAAGTGGGATTTTACACTGCATATGAGATTCCATATCATAAGGAATAAATAAATCTTATTTAAACAATTGCTCATAAATTTCCAAAATTCTCATTTACGAGATCGTTGATAAGCTTTCTCGCATCATGCAAGCGCGTAGGGTTTTTCCACGTAGGCTAGACGTACGCAGATAGAAAGATTAGAATTCTAGAGAACTAATTTAGAAAGAGAATACTCGTACACGCTAGATTCATAATATGATTATCATATTCTGAACTCGAAATCCCAGTAAAATGTTCTTTATCGGTTATTAATGGTCACGCATGCTTGATACCAAAACCAGAATAACCTTGTTTTCAAGTTGCATGATAATGATGATATCTTGTCTCCAGCCTGCCTACCCAGTGCAAATACAACATAACGTTTAATATTTATGCTGCGCAATAGCTAGACAGCTAAACAGTTAGGGTGACCAACTAATTAGTTTCCACACAATATGCCTAATATACGGTATATACCTTCATATATAAATAGGGTAGGCCACATAAATATTTGTAGCATGCATTGTCAATTTTCAACACGACGCATGTCTCAATGACCTCAAGGTCGACGCATGTTTTGAAAGATTGCGAAGATGTCAGCTGCGAAACTGCACAGCGTCCTCCGTCATTATTCCGCCAATCTCTGTCGTTGGCTGTTCGCAGAAAAGTTGCTGTGCCTGAAAATTAGAGAAATAAATACGTTTCGTGCAGTTATAGTTGACTTTGTAAGGTTTACACAACGTTTTTGCCTACGTTAAAATATCAATGATTTATTCGCTAACTTGCTAAGCTATTTGGTTGCTAACATGATAAAAACTATCTAATAACTAAATAAGTTACGTTTACTAATTACTAGTATACCGTATATACCTGCAAGTCTGTACTTAACTTAACTCAAGAATAAAATGATTAATTTTATAATAAAAGCTTAAGTTAATTGAATTTACTTTTATAACTATAAAAATATTTTACAAATTAAAATTATTAGACGAGCTATGAACAGTTGAACACTGACATGTTCTTCTAATCTAATCTAACTCTAACACCATAACACGTTTAAATTTTATTCTTAAAATTTAATTTTTTCTAGAGACTGAGACTAGAGTCCATACCTACCATGTTTTCAACACAAGGAATGACCAATAAAGTATATGATCCTGATTTATGGCAAGATCCATTACTGCATTTAAGATTTATTGCTCTAGCAGTAAGCAGTGTAGCCTAACAGCCCTAACTAGCTACTACCTATATTGTCTTTGATCACTCTTTATCATCGTTTATGATTTATTTTACGAGTAGGGCTAAGTATAAGATAATGATGGTAAATGATATCTTTCAGACATGCCAGAAGAATTCTCGTCACTGTTGTCACTTGTCAGTTCTCCCAAATTTCCCATTTTCCAAATGAGTAAAAGGTTATAAACTTGCCAGTTCTAACTTGCCCATGTCAATGTGCACAGATTCTAGGTCTTAGGATATTAAAATATTTATTTATTTCAATGTGATGTGCATGGGAGACAAATTTTTAAAATTTGTTGAGATGTTTTTATGTATTCTATCCCCATGAACAGTTATAATTTTTTTTGTATCTAAATATTCATTAGGAAAATAAAACTTAGAAAAAATTTGTACCTAGAACTTGAAAGCATTAAAACAGCTTACATATATATAAGTTTAAATTAAACTTAAATGAACATGTCTAATTTATGCTCTACTATCAATGCCACTAACTTAGCCACAGCATTTACATTGCTGCTTTTCATTTTTTCAATAGAAACAATCTGTTTCTTGACAAATTCAGGTCACAACTTTCCAGTGTGATCAAAAAAAGCCTCTTAGTCTTAGTTATTATGTTGCAAATTGCAATCAATGCATACAGAGTGGAATGTAAAGGAAGTCCTAAACTAAATTGTACTATCTGTAGACTGTTACCATAAAATGGGGTAACTTAGACCTGCGGGGTAACTTAGACCACTTTTTGTTTTGTTAACAAAAACCCCCACAACTCAAAAACTATTTGACATAGAAAAATTTTGTCAATGGGCATTAAAAATTTTGTCAATGGGCTAATACTGAGGCTACATAACACAATAGAAAGATTTGAAAAGTTTGCATATCTAATAGGTTAAAAAATTAAAAATGTGACCCATGAAAAAAAGCTATTATTTAAAGCCTGTCAGAGTACCCCCTCCAATTTTTTTATTTTTTGGTTAAATAAATTTGGTTTTGATGCATTGTAGTAGAACTCTTCTAGTTACATATGCAAATGACAAATTTTAGGAAAGTGTCATAGTTTGCATATGGGAGGCGCCGTCCCCAAATGGGGTAACTTAGACCACCTAATGTCAGCCCTGACGGGGTAACATAGACCTCATGGTAAAATTCTTGTGGGTAAAATTGAAATGCTTTTTTATCATAGAGGGATTGAAATTGTTACCATTCAATGATTAACCAAATGATAAAACATTTTCAGTAATTTTGGAGACCAGTTTTACTTGAGAAGAATCTTGAATGATTTCACACTTCACAGTTCATTTAGAATTATGAATATTACTAGGGTTTATGTATAATAAACTTATAACCTTGAAATCAACTTACATTGAAAGGTACCTACCTCACTTATGAACTTTATTTTTTTGTGTGACAGGGTTTGTATGAGGAAATGTTGGATGTGGAAACAATACTGGTGTTTAATGTGTGTTAAGTGTTAACATAATTAAAAAAAGTATAGCATCATATTATTTTCTAAACTCCAAATCAATTCTGTAATTCATTTTGTAAGCAGAAATGTTTGTTCATATGTGGAGGCAATAAAATCTGAAAACTCTGGCTGTTTTTAGATTTTTCTGGCATTCTGATTGTAGTTACTTGCTTAAATGAGAAATAAACTGTATTGTCTGTGAAAGACCTGAAACTATTGGTGAATACTTCTTATGCAACAAAATCACAAATAATAAGTTGCCTATGATCTTCGAGATATGTTTCTAGTATTAACATTAATGTCAATATTCAGTTTAACATAAAATAATTGCAAATCAACCAAATCTCTAATTATTAGTGTGTTCAAAGGGACCTTTCTGGAAGGAACAAGATTAAAACAACCTAATGAAATTTGTTTCAAACAAATATTGATTGCTGTTATGGTTAGTATGCACACCTACAGAATGACCTACTGAGTACTGACCTATATATACCGTATGTACCGTATGTGCTAAAAGTTTTAGATGATCTACATCCAGATAATAATTTCTGAAATTAAACTGTTCAAACATGATGATAAATTCCAAAATTGTCAGAACTAAAAAATCAGATTATAAGAGTACGGTATTAATTCTGTAAGAGGATTTGAAACTAACCTCCAAATAATATTTACTCTAATTTCAATGGCACAGTTGAGCCTATTGGCATCCAGCTTTTTATTATTGTAAATAATGATTAGTCCTCTTGAGAAAGCATTATTGTAGTCAAGAATCTCATAAGCTCTCAATATTGAATGTAGGAAATAATTTGTAAATTGCTACTTGCTTATTAAATAGAAAGAATGAGAATCCATAAAACTACATTATTTAATACTCTGTTCATTCATTTACTACAGAACATATACAGGATACTCTGAGGCAGATGACAATTAAATTTGATTAATAAACTGTGCTGTTCATTAAGTGCATAATGGTGCCCATGGAAGAGAGGTGCTACCAGGGTGATGATGGAGTGGTGAAGACCAAACAGGCAAAGAAGAGACAAAAGTCGCCCCAGAAAGCCATGCGTGTGCAGGAGCTTTGTTCGGACGTGCTTGTGACACTCAAGAAAATACTCTACGTGCTGGGCCCTTGTGTGGTGGTCTTCGTAGCTGTCAGGAACAGCTTGACTTTGTGAGTTCTAGCCTAAATAATATACTACGGTACATTTAAAAATTACTTTTTAAAGACAACATTTCTAAAAAATCCAGTGTTTCCAATGTTACAGATGTACAATGAATTTATAATTTTATTTTTTGATATTAAAAAAATTAATTTTTCCATTTTTTGATATATAAAATTTTTTCAAAATTTGTTATTCTGTCAATTGATTCATGCATTGCATCCAACTTCACACAAGTGTGCAAAATTTCATATCAATTGGACAGGTAAAAGTGTGTCAAACATCAGTTATAAGATTTGTGGCTGACAAAATTATTTTTTCAGTTTTTTTAATATTGAAAAAAAAAGTAATTTTTAAAATCATTTATTTTATCATTTGCTTCATGCATTGTCTCCAACTTTACACAAGTGTGAAAAATTTCAGATTGATAGGATAAGTAGAAGTGTAGGTATTAAATTTTGATTACAAGATTTGTAGCAGACAGACAGACAAGAAGTGAAGTTAAGAGAAGTGTTGTAAAATAAGGAGGGATTAAGCTACTTTTAAAGTATTAATGATATATTAGTGCTGATGGAAAATTCTGTACCCATATCAGGTGTAACTTGATCTAATATAAATAGTGGATCCAAACCAAAATGTTGACAATAACATTTTGACACAAAATGTTAACAAGAACTCATGAGCCCTATCATTATTGTTTAAAAATAATAACCCACTGTATCTTTATTATTATTTCATGTTGTGAATATAATTCTTTTCAGGCATCTACAGAATTTCTGGGGAGCATCAGGCAACTTCTGGCAGCACCAGTGGGACCGTTTACTTAATGCCTTTGGTGACGACCTCTTCAACCTCATGGTCTATGGTGGGCATAAAGAATTGATATTGTCATGAATTACCATAAATAATAATTTTAGAGATAAATGCAATCACTGATATAACTTGAAATTTATGTGCTGGAGTGATATATAAGTATGACTACCATAGTGTCAACACACAGAAACTTTGAGATACTTATTTTGTTGGTTGGTTGTAAGTTTTTAGATAAGGTTTATCATGCTTACAAAATGTACTTTATGCAATGATGAAATGATGGAGCGATGAAATATGCAATGATGAATTACTATTATAGTGGAATGTCCAATGATGAATTTCTCTATAGTGATGAAATGTGTCAATGATGCTATGTCTCATATGAGGATGTGTCTGGCCACCATTTCTGGCCATTCTCATTAACATCCTCTACCATTGCAGGAACCATTATTGTGTCGTACGTTGTGTACTGGGTCTTTGGGCTGTTCTACGTCTTCATGGATGTAACACTGCGACCTCAGGCCTTCCGCAAGTACAAGATTCAGCCGGGGACCAATGAGCCTGTCGACAACTGGAAACTAGCTAAGGTTTTTCAACATATCATCATATAACAGAACTTCCAAATTAAAAATATTATGTATTTAGGTTCTAGTAACAAAAATTGACATTGAAATGGTAATGTTTTCTGAAGTTGTCAAGATTTATTCTGAGAAAGGGTTGGTAGGCAGATGTCAATTGTTGCTCCTTAGTTAATATTTCTGTTGAAGAAGGGTTAAGCCTTTGTCTGCTGACAGTAAGATTTGTTATCAGGCATTTAGATACAAATAGATTCTTTTAACAGAGTTAATACTTGAGATCAATCATTGGTGTGCAAAGTTGCTGTGGTTCACTTTTAACCACCTGCTTGTTGGCAGGTGGTGGCAATGGTTCACTTTAACCACCTGGTTGTTGGCAGGTGGTGGCGGTGGTTCACTTTTAACCACCTGGCTGTTTGCAGGTTGCGGCAATGGTTCACTTCAACCACCTGATTGTAACTGGGTGGTGGCGGTGGTTCACTTTTAACCACGTGGTTGTGTGCAGGTGGTGGCGGTGGTTCACTTTTAACCACCTGATTGTAACTGNGGTGGTGGCGGTGGTTCTCTTCAACCACCTGATTGTTGGCAGGTGGTGGCAATGGTTCACTTTAACCACCTGGTTGTTGGCAGGTGGTGGCGGTGGTTCACCCATAGCCACCTGGTTATTTGCAGGTGGTGGCGGTGGTTCACTTTTAACCCCCTGGTTGTGTGCAGGTGGTGGCGGTGGTTCACTTCAACCAGCTGGTGGTTGGTTACATAGCCTCTCGCGTGAGCTTCCACCTGCTGCAGTGGCGGGGCTACGACGCGAGTCCCTCGCTGCCCACCTTCCAGTGGGTGCTGTACGAGCTCGTCGTGTGCGTCCTCGTCGAGGAGGTCGGCTTCTACTACTCCCACAGGTGCGCTAGTGACATCTGCATCACACAGCATTGAACTTTGAGATGCGGGTCATCTAACGTTGTTTGCGCAACATCAAGTCGTAATCAGAGGGCCATACTTTTAAAATTTGCTAAGTGAACGTGAGTACTTACGCTCTATTTCCTTGTCTATGATTGGTGGATTTTGCTTGAAAGGACTTCAATGATTGGCTGATAAACTTACGATCTCTTAACATTTTCTGAAAGTATGGTCCCAGGGTAGTTTCTACGACATCAAGTTATAATTAGCGTTGTACTCACCCAACGACTACCCCACTCACTCACCCACTCCCCTACCCTAGCTCTCCCCTCCCACCCTCTCCCCCACTCACCCACCCTCTCCCCCAGGCTGTTCCACCACCGCCTGCTCTACAAGAGGTTCCACCCGCAGCACCACGAGTGGACGTCCCCCATCAGCGTCACCGCCGTCTACGCGCACCCCATGGAGCACAGGCTGTTCCACCACCGCCTGCTCTACAAGAGGTTCCACAAGCAGCACCACGAGTGGACGTCCCCCATCAGCGTCACCGCCGTCTACGCGCACCCCATGGAGCACCTCTTCTCCAACCTCATGCCACGTGAGCCTCCCTTCTTATACGTTTCTTTAGTATTTCTGATACTAATGGCATCACAAATGCCATGGCATCACTAATGCCACAAATGACATGGCATCACTAATGCCACAAATGACATGGCATCACAAATGCCACAAATGACATGGCATCACAAAGATAAAAGATAAGAGCTTTGCCAAGCGAGTCACATATTATTCATATGTGACTGTGAGGCTTACATGTCGTATGAGTAATATATGATTATTCTGCAATCATATGAGTAATCATATAATGGACATATATTCAAGTCCCTTTTCAAATAGCGGTTAAGTTGGGGTCTGATGAGTTGTAAGTTGCAGTTTGATTAATTTNATATAATGCAATCAATCAATCAATACCATCAATACCTAACAATATAATGTCATGTTCACAATAATATGAAAGCCCTTCTATAGATATGTAGCTAATGCTATAATGCCGTCACTCAATCAATACCATCAATACATACCAACATAATGCCATGTTGAGAATAACATGTCAGCGCTGCTATATATATGTAGCTAATGCTATCTTTAAAATAAAACATAATACCGTCAATCAATCAATGTTATCAATACATAACAACATAATGTCATGTTGACACTAACATGGCAGCGCTGCTGGGCCCCCTGCTGCTGGGCTCGCACATGTCGACCATGTGGCTGTGGTTCCAGCTGGCCCAGCTGTCTACCCTCAACGCTCACTCCGGCTACCATCTGCCCTTCCTGCCCAGCAATGAAGCCCACGACTACCATCATCTCAAGTACCATAATGCATTGTATAATAATATACAACCATGTAATATATTGTTGTTTAATAATATATACAACCATGTAAAATATTGTTGTTTAATAATATGTGATATAATACAAGCATGTAAAATATTGTTGTTTAATAATATATAGTATAATACAACCATGGTCTAGCAGGTTTATGTATAGCCATGTTTGTCTTGAATGACATGGCCTATGGAGAACCATTTATATTGTAGTAGCTCATGTTCTATGTAGAACCATGTTCTATATAAAACTTTGCCTAATAAATAAATACATGTTTACGCGCTAATGTTCAATGAGTGTACGGGATGCTGCGTAACCAATATAGAAATGCTGTGGAAGGATATGTTTAATGTAAAACCATTTCTAATGTAGCATGACATGCTTGCTATAGAAATGTTTGGTCTCTCAGGTTCAACGATTGCTACGGGGTGCTAGAGGTAACCAATATAGAAACACTATAGAAACACTGCGTAATGACATCTTTAATCTAAAGTCATGTTTAATGTGGCATGAAATGGTCACTATATAAATGTATGATATCTCAGATTCAACGAGTGCTACTGGGTGCTGTGCGTAACCAATATAGAAACGCTGTAGAGTGTAGAATGACATGTTTAATGTAACACCATGTTTAATTTAGCATGACATGCTTGCTATAGAAATGCTTTATGCCTCAGGTTCAACGAGTGCTACGGTGTGCTGGGAGTGCTAGACCTGCTGCACGGGACGGACCAACGCTTCAGGAGCAGCAAGAACTTCTGCCGCCACGTCCTGATGCTCTCCACCACCCCAGCCAGGGTCCTCTTCCCTGACACCCCCTCCAACGTCAAGCCTAACGCCCCCGACGTCTGCAACGCCAATAACGCTTGTAACGCCAAAGATAATAACGCTTGTAACGACGATACTCACACCTGTAACGCCGACGCTACTGATACTGACCGCTGTAATGTACAGGAGTAATGTACATTAATATAATGTAATGCCACCTTTGACGCCATTTGTGCGAAAACTGAGGCAAAAACTTCCCCTAAAGCTCCCCTGATAACTAACGTAAAGCGCAACAATTATCAGCGATAAAAAAAAAACAAACATAGCTCGTATTACGAGCAATTAGCTCTGGTTTCAAAAAGTAGCGCGGCTTCCGAGTAGATATCAGTAACAACTACCAGCGGATCTTAAGGAATTGGGACGGACTGCTAGCAAAACTTGCTCAGGTTGCCGTTACTAGCACAGCTAGTGAATTGTAAGGATAAGGCAGTTACTTATCACGCAAGTGTATGAATAAGACATTAAATTATCACGAAAGTGATAGTTCCTGCTCAGTTGCAGCTCAAAGTGGCCCCTTCCTAGGCCGCTCTCTGCTCGAAATTTCATTGGTGTTGCAGCGGTCAGTGTCGATCCTGAACAGGTTACTTTGTGAGACAGGTTAATTGCTGAAACCGGTTTATTGCTGAGACAGGTTAGTTGCTAAGTCAAGTTAATTGTCGAAACGAGTCAATTGCTGAGACAGGTTAACTGATGGAAAATTTCCCGCTTTTTGGGTCGAGATGTCAGAAAATAACATAAGGCAGGCTCAGTGGTTACAGTTCAGAGTATCAGGATTGAAACAGGGAGTTGCTTGTTCGAGACCGCAACAAGCTGAGAATGTTTTACAATGTTAAGAATCGACGACCGGCCTACAGCCTAATAAATGCTGACATCGCTATTATAATTATTATTCATGTATTAATTATTATTATCAAAATTATTAATATTATAACGTAGGACTTGTGCCGACATGGAAAGGGAAGTTATCATTATGTCATCGCTGTACAATTAGTTGACGTGAGAAGAGATGTAGAATAATAGTTGTTCTGGCTGATACTCTAAGAAATAAGTGGGACTTTGTCTGAATAGAGATGCACTTCTTACTTTAATGTAGGTCATCCTGACCCAGTTTGGACCGGCATATGGGCTGTATCAGTGATACCGTACGTCAGTTCTCTGCTCATGCTGTGGGCAAGAAAGTGCTTCACTATTTCGACTATATGCCCCATTCAATTTTTTGTGTGTAGACTACTTGGCAACTATAAGTGAATGTGACGGGATCCCAGCGAATTGATTATCATTGATCATTTTTACCAATGATACAGATTCAAGAATCATCTATTGCGTGATATCCGAGGTTCCTCTATTGAATTTCGTGAACTTTAGAGACTTGTGAAGGAATAATAAATTTAGCAGTTCTTTATTAACATATTTAATATTAATATCATTCGTGATAATAATATTCAGTATCACGAATGTTCTCAAATGTGTTCGCTGTTCCAAAAGTTATATCGATGTTGTTGTGTAAATGTAATTACGCAGATGATATTGAAATCTGCAATACTTGTGGCATTCAATGAATGGAATTGAATAAATTCTAAATTCATTGACTTAACAACTTGTATTTATAGTAACAAGAGTATATATTACGCTATAAAACTGGCAGCTAAACTATTAATAAAAATGAATATGGACCGGGGAAATTATCTATTAACTTCTATGTTAATCTTATTTCAAATTATATGCCATCTATTAGATAATGGGTCGCTTATAACTGATATTATTGACGTTAAATATAATCATTGGCATGCTATTTAGTGAAGAGCATTATTTAATTAGTATATAAACAAAAACTATTAGTAAGGGGCATCAGAACATGTTTTGTTCTTCCATTATTAAATGCCGCTTCCTTTAATGTGTGTAATGTAATGCTGTATGCAATGTGCTAACATTATATACATGTTATCTGTCACAACCGCACTTTCTTTCCCGTATTATCGGGCATTTTATTACTGTTTTTGTATATTTCGGTGTATTTAAATGTTCCTTCTGTATTGTGTGGTGTATTTCACTATGTATTTCTGTATTGTGTGGAGTATTTCAATATATTTCTGTATTGTGTGGTGTATTTCAATGTATTTCTGTATTGTGGTGTGTATTTCAATATATTTCTGTATTGTGTGGTGTATTTCAATGTTATTTCTGTATTGTGGTGTGTAATTTGTTGTTTTGTTTGAATTGTTTCGGACATTTTATTGCTGTACCCTTATTGTGTCAGCTTAAACATTAGAATTTATACATTAATTTGGGCATTTAATAAATATATCTGTGTTACCGGGATTTTCTTCATATTTGTAAGTTGTTTCGGGCATTATCTTTGTTATTATCATTATTTCGAACGAGATTTTTTAGACTATATTATATTTACTCAGGAAGTTTGTCTTCAATTTATCGAACATTTTCGATAAAAATTTTTATATTTCGTTAGCTATTGCATGCATGTATCTATTGATGCACTGTTTACCTCATGTTAGATAGCATGTGTGTCATGATAAGCTTGACGTAGGGCTTCGTAAGTATGAATTATGTAAATGGCAGCAGTCAATATATTTTACGTGGATAAAATTTTAGCTCATCAGACTTATTATTTCCTCAATGCAGCGAGAAGAATGTCATGACTGCGGTAGGACGGGAGAAGAATGTCATGACTGCGGTAGGACGGGAGAAGAATGTCATGACTGCCGTAGGACGCGAGAAGAATGTCATGACTGCGGTAGGA